CGGGGAGATCCGGCACTGCGGTCCCTGCGTGGGGCTCGGAAGGCGGTTTGTGGGGGGGGGGAGAGCTACCTGCCCGGACGACGGGTACGGTCCTCACAGGGAGGTGAAGCCAACTGAGTATTTCGAGCTCCTTCTGTGGGAGGAAAGCCCGGCGCGCTCCTTCTGGAATAATCTCCGAATACATTTATAAGCAGTAATCTCGCGTAAAATTGCACAGAAATGAGTTTCAGTAGGAGAGAGAGAGAGAGAGAAGGCAGATGTTAACTTCAGCCAGTGTGTGTGTTGCAATGACCTTCCAACAGAGAGTGGCATTTGTGTTATACTCGAGATTATTAAAGGGGGGGGTGTCATCCCATTTCTAGCAAAAGGCTTAGCACAGACATACAGTAAAGCATCCATGGGGTGGGAATCTAGGACAGTGCAAATTTTGGACCAAGGCGGAATGCTTTTCTATTGAAGGGGTGGATTCTGCACAGAAGATTAAGCCTTGAGGGACCTTGTAACAGAGGACCACAAATTGTACTTGTCCCACCCAAATTTGTTACAGTGTTGAAATTTATAATGCCACAGAAGGGAGAATCATTAAATACATGACAATAATAATATGAGCTGTATTTAATTAATTGCATTTAGATTTTTATATAAGTGTATACCCATTTGTTTGTGCCATCCAGCCCCAACTCATCACTGAAGGATATCCTTGCCTTATACAATATAAGGATAGACCGCCAGTTGCCTGCAGACTACGCACAGCCTCCATGGCCTGTTCTGGACTTCAGAATCCTGTTTTTCCCTTTTTTAAACATCAGAATCATACCATTGGAAGGGGCTTTGGGGGTCTTCTAGTCCAGCCTCAGGACTCTTCATGATATACCATCCTTAAAAGTAAAATGGGTGCCTTAAGCTTTGCAGAGAGTTAAGGTGCCCATTTTATTCTTTAAAAATCCCAGCAGAGCTGAATTTTCCCAGGTAATACACACTCCTTTTGCCCCTTAATTTTTCCTCAAACCTACAAAAAATGGGCCAACTCCTAACCACTGTACCCTGCCCACTCCTGCATTATTGGTTAACAGATTGTTGTTAATGAGCTTTATGCCACAGACAATTTAGTTAAGCAATTTATTAGCTGTTTCAATGGCCAAAGCAACTCTAAACAGTGTACAAAACTAAAGAGTTTAAGATAGGCTAAACATAGCCAATAATAAGTAAATAAAAGCCACCCATGTTGGGAATAGAAACTACACCAAGAGTCACCAATCACCTGTTGAAAAAGTCATAACAACAGAGTCGAGGCTGTACAAACTTCTGGGGAAACATTGCTCGAGAGGGCAGAGATGGCCACAGAGAAGGCTCATCTCCTGGTTCCTGCAAGATTGCTTTGCTGCTTTTCTAAGACCTGGAGAATGCGGACCCTGCCAGGTCTCGCTGGACAGAAACAATTGAAAAGAGGTGGTTTGATAGATATCTAGGCAGTGGTGACTGCAGGGAGGGAGGAAGGGTGCTTAAACAGATAAATGGTGGATATAGCGTTGCAATCCTGCCCCTTTGATTGCCATCTTGCTGTTTTGATCCCCTTTGATGCTGCTATATCCAGTCCCCAAGCCTGGAATTTATTAGCCTTTAAAATACCAAGTACTTTCTTGGAAGTTGCTATAATACAATTGACCCCAGTTAGAACCTTTTAAGGTCATTCTAATTTAGCCAGATGCATGCTAAGATAGATAGATATAAAATCCCTGCATTATTTAATGAGAAACACAATTCACTAAATTCAAAGGAGATTTCTTCCATGTATATGGATTTAAAACTGAATCCAGATAGTAACAATCCCAAATAATCAGGAATGTTCTGCTGAACTCAGTGTGCTTAAGACCATATGCTTACAGTATCCTAATCATGTATATTCAGAAGTAGCCCTAGCTGTATGTATAAGATTACAACCACATGTAATGTAATTCTGTGAGTTTATTCAGAAGTTAAAACCCCACTGTACAATAGCTAACATACATTTGAATAAGGATAGGTAAATTACCAGATTCAAATGTTTACTCAGCCTGGTAGCTTAGTGAAATACATTGGGCCAGTTACTGGCTGTGAATGTGTTGACTTAACAGAATTTTCTGGGTTTGTGCAGTACATTGGAATATAAACCACAGAAGTTGGCTTTGTGTGACACCCACAGCCAATGATTGCCAACCTGTGGTTAGGGGTTCGCACTGCAGGTGGTCCCTCAGTTTTGCCAATATATATTCAAAAATTGTTAAAATCTTGGGAGATTGAAGTTCCTGCCTCAAATCTTGCGAGATTTCAGATGGCAGTTTCAGCACATTTCAGTCCTTTAAAAAAAATTTTTTTTCTTTAGTTTTCTGATCCTATGGGCAACAACAAAACGAAGTTATGCGATAACAGGAACATAGATTAGCGCAGGCTGTAAATTCCCCCACGGTAGTTGGTAAACCATCTTCTAATGCAATGTGTGAATCCAACACCTCCAAAGTTAATAGGCCTGCCGCATCTTACTCAAACTTCGAAGACGCGCGAGCCCATCGCCCCCCTCCCCTGTGAATAAAGGAGGAATAAAAGGAGGAGGGACGTAGCCACGCCCACCAAAGCCCGGAGAGAATTGGCGCCGAGACCTGCGAACCACGTTGGTCGGGCTGTGAATTTTATCCCCCCCCATTCCACCCCCGGCGCTGTCTTCCGTCAGGCCCGGCTGCCGGGCGGGCGGGGTCCGCATTGGCTTCTCTTTTGCGGGCATCGCCTTGATAGGCTGCTCTGAGGCGGAAGTGCAGCCGCTGTTTGGGAGGCGGGGCCACCCCTTCAGTCAGAGCGGGTAGAGCTGCGAGAAAGCGAGCGGGATGGCGCGCCGGTGACTGCCGCCCCTCTTTGATTCTCCGCACCATCCCAGCCCTGCGCACCGGCTGCTGCTCCTGCGGCCATGGAGACCGTGCAGTTGCGACACCCGCGCCGGTGAGGAGCCGGACTTTGGGGGCCCGTAGAGAAAAGGGCGTGTTCGTGCGATTAGGAAGGTGGAAGAGCCGTCGAGGACAGAGCAAGCCGAGGCGACGGGGGTGTGCGCAGGATGCGCTTCTCCTTGCCTCTGAGACTTCCTCTCCGCTCTTGCTTGCGGAGGAAGTCCCGTGCCCCTGCTCCGCCGGCATTCGCTGGCCGGGGTTGGCTTGCATCTTGTGCTCAAGGACAGACGTCCTTCTGTAATTCTTTGTCTCAAAGTGGGTGCACAGCGTGTTTCCTATTGGTGGAGTCGCGTCTGCGTTTTGCAGCTGTTTGCCTCTTCTGTCTCCGTTAGTCCAATTACTTTTTTTGGATTTAAGTTCCACCTGAAATTCCAAGCTTCTGTACTGGGTCATCTTATATGTGTATTTTGTTTTCCTTTGTCGTGTTATATTCCACTGTAAAAACCAGAGCAGAAATGAAATGCACAGGCTTGTTCTTTTTCTGTTACAAAACCAAAATGCAGTGGTACCATTAGTGTGACAAAACTTACATGATGGTGTCTAAAGATACGGACTTATCATCTTAAGGCAGGATGACCTGGAGTAAAATCCCATTATTGATGACTCTGGTAGTAGCTTTCCAAATATTGAGATACGTTTCCCTCAGGCAGGGATACTGGGCATTTAAAACATGTGGTTTTCTATAGTTAGGGTTGATTTCCAAGTTTTTGGGTCGAACCATCAGCATAAAATTAGAGAAGTGAGTAGTAAGAAAGTTGTGTTTTATGAATTCGGAAGTCTTTGCAAGTTATATGTTGTCTTTTTAGAAACAGCTTTTCTGTAGGAGGTGGAGCGCAAACTGAACTAACGTACGATGGGCTCTCATGTATACATTCTGATGTGTATCAGACATTTTAGACACCATCTACACAGGAAGTTGCTCTTTAGTTACCAAAGTTCATTGCTTGCTTAAAAACATGGTAAGGGGAAGTGAACAAAGGAGCACCCAGTGACTTAAAATGCATAAAGGGAAGTTCTAAATGTCAAAATTACAGTTTCTTGTGCAGTTTTAATTGCCTAAATCATGCTTTATATGTCATGTTTTGACATTTAAAGTATTAAATATTTCTGTGTGTGTAGATTGCAAATTATATAATTTACTGAATTATTATTAGATTTTTATGCCACTTTTTAAAAAAAAACTTGATCATAATATAGGAATGAAATTAGCATAAAAGTTATGTCGGTGACAGTACTTTGTGAACACTGCTATTAATTTGATACCTGAAGATGTCTAAAACCATTTACATAATACTTCCAGAGATTTATTAAGAACTGCTTGATATTGGTATTATCTGGAAGGAAGTTGCTTTCCAGAAAGCAGAATAGGAATATGGAACTATGGAAGAAAACCTAATGATAGTTAGATATACATTATCTTTCTGTTTAAATAAAAGGTAATGCTGTACGCTTCATTATATATTTAAGAATATATTAATCCACATTGCAGTTTACTTTTGACTATACAGTTATTTGCAACTATACATGGTGCAAAATTAAAGACAGCATCTTTCTGCAAATGTGAATGCATAATGTAATTACTTGCAGATGCAAAATAAAAAAACTAAGAGTATGACAGGTGCAGAAGTTTGGACTTCTTTCCAGATTTTCATGTAATAAAATAAAGTAATGCACTGAATCAACTGGAAGTTTTGCACCTGCAGTATTTTTAGTTTTCTTATTTTGCATCTGTAAACAACTGCACATAAGTATGCATTCAGTTTATAGAGATGTGCTTAACTGTCAACCATGCAAAGGTTGTATCAGTTTCTGTTTATTTAGGGATTCATTGAAACATGCAATTTGAATAAGATTACCTAAATCTTTGCATGCAACTATATTTCCAGATTTAAAACTTAAAAAGAGGATGAGACTAGATCCCTGAGAACATGACTTCTCTTTGTCTTAAATCATAGAGAAGTTCTTAGGAAGATGAATATCAGTTGTCAAACTGGATCTTGCATGTTTATAGTTATGGTTTGATGTTTTTTCCTATTTACCATATTTAGGGTTAATCAGAATTTGTTCCGATGCTTGGCGAAGCTGCAGTTAGTTAATACAACTGAAAACTTGGCTCTTCTTCCAGGCCTTGGAATAGGGTATATGTGGAGCTCCTGTTAGTTGTGTTTTCTGTTATAGGGAGTGTGCTTGTCTGGACATGAGATTTTCTTTTTATCGTTTGCTATTTTGTAGTGTAAGCTCTGTGGAGTCAAGTAGCCTTTAAATCTCATTCATAGATAGATAGATAGATAGATAGATAGATAGATAGATAGATAGATAGATATTGCAATTTAATATCTGGAGAACCACAAATACAGTACTCTACCCATTGCAATAGGTGAAAAAACCCAAGTTAAAGACAATTGAGGTCTGAAGGAATTTCTGTAACATTAGACTGTTATTAGAGATTGTAGCTGGTTTCAATTTTGGATAGTGCATTTGCATACTGAGCAAAAAGACCTGTTTCCTTTGTTTTGTGGCATAATGAATTACATTTTTTCCACAATAGCAATGGTGATAGATATATACATATATGTGCTCATGTGTGTCCCTCACCATCTCAGCCGCTCCATAGTCACTTGAATATGAACAATTAGGATTCTCAATTATTGTTTGTTTCCTTTTTTCTTTTATTGCCAATTATTTTTCAATCTTTTTAGCTTTCATGTTTTACTTGATGTATTATTTGCTTTGTAACATTTCTCTGTTTTGATAGTATCTCATAATTAGTCTATAGCTGTATACATTGATTTGTTTATCCTACATACAATATGCTTGCATTTCTTTAGATTGCTGATAACTATGAAATTTTGCAATCACTTTTCAGCAGCTTTACAAGTGACTTTAAAATTGGGTTAATGTTTTTCTGTTAAAATCTCTTAATTTATGATGATAAAAGTGGAGCAGTTTTACATAAAATAACATGTTGGTGAGTTGACTGGTGATATTTATCTGAGGCAATTACTTAGTGAAGCCAGGGAGTGTATATCAAGGGTTCTAAAATTGTGGGTTGTGGCCACTCAGAGAGTTACAAGCAAATGTGAGGGGTGGGGTGGGATGGGGTTAGGGTCACAATCTGTAAAAAAGCTGACCAGTTTTACCATTATCACGATTCATTCCTACTTTGCACAAACCTGTTGTGGGCTTGTACAGGCAAAGTTGAGAGGAAAGCCTAGAGTGAGTTTTGGGGGATTGGCTAAGCTACTAGGTCGAGCCCTAAATAATTAAATAGGAATTTGTAGTTTGTAGTTATTACTTAATCTTATTCATTATCACTTTAGGGGGTCATAAATATTTGAGGGACTACCTTTCCCCAATTACATCTACCTGTCCCATAAGGTCTGGCAGGTAGGGCATGTTGCGGGTCCTGTCTACCAAGGAATGTCATCTGACGGGACCCAGGAGGAGAGCCTTTTCTGCTGTGGCACCTGCCCTTTGGAATATCATTCCCCCTGAGATCAGATTGACCCCAACCTTGCTGGCCTTCCAGAAGGGCCTGAAGACATAGCTTTGCCATCCGGCTTGAGGATCTAGTAACATGAGTATAGGGCCTGTAAAGTGGCTGTATTAATAGGGAAACTGAGTGTACTTTGCAACATTTTTTAATGGTTTTTATTGTTTTCAATTTTTTAAAATGATTTTTGTTATTTTTTGGTAATTTTGTTCTATTATTTCTTGTGTTTTTTAACTTTGTATGTCACTCAAAGTCACATTTGTGAGTTATATAGTGTGTATTATTATGTATGTATTATATATATTGTGAGCTATATATACAGCTATATAGGTAATCCTTGCTTACTGATTGCCTCATTCAGTGACAGTTCCAAGTTATGACCATACTGTCCCTCAGTCACATGATTGCCACAGTCATGTGATCATCATTACAGTCAGTAGGTGTTCTCTGCTTGACCTGTTGTTTATCTTTTTTCCTCCCTTGCAGAGCAGAGAGATTGGAGAGAAAGGGATTACAAGAGAGTAAGCAGGCACACAATGGGGAATACATATCAAAAGCAATATGCTGGTGCTGGCAGCCACTAACGAGCTACACAAAATAAGCCTGGTGTATTTCCCATTGTATGCCAGTTTACTCTCTTGTAATCCCCTCCTCTCCAGTCTCTCCGCTCTGCAAGGGGGAGGGAGAATGGGTCAGACACAGGAGAGATTGCCTACAGAAATTGCTTGGTTTTTTTCTTCCCCCCCCTCCGCCTTGCAGAGTGGAGAGATTGGAGAGGAAGGGAATGCAAGAGAGTAAGCAGGCACATAATGGGGAATACACCAGGCTTTTTGCGTAGCATGCTCACGGCTGCCAGTGCCAGTTCATTGCTTTCGATGTGTATTCCCCATTATGTGCCCGCTTGCTCTCTTGTAATCCCTTTCTCTATAATGAATGTAAATACAAACATTAATTCCGTTCTTATTAATTATCCCAGTGCTGGGGTGTATATTCCAAAAGGTAGGGAAGTGGTTACAGGTAGTCTTCGACTTATGACCACAATTGGGACCGGAACTTCCATCACTAAGCAGTGCAGTGATTAAGTGAGTTGTGCCTGATTTTACAACCTTTTTCGTCATGGTTGTTAAGCAAATCATGCAGTCATTAAGCAAATCATGTCTTTAAGCAAATCCGGCTTTCCCCATTGACTTTGCTTGTTGGAAGCCCCTTGGGAAAGTTGCAAATGGCGCTTACGTGACCCCGGGATGCTGCAACTATCGTAGATATATGCTGGTTGCCAAGAGCCCAACTTGTGATCACGTGACCACAGGGACACTGTGACGGTTGTAAGTGTGAGGACCAGTTGTTAGTCACATTTTCCAGCACTGTTGTAACTTCAAACAGTTGTTAAATGAATGGTCCTAAGTCAAGGATTACCTGTAGGAGGCAAACAAAAGCCAAAAGGTGTGAAACTGATTAGTCTCGTCAGTTTTGAGCTGGAAAGCTCAGTCACAGTCACATGATTTCCCACTTAGCGATGGAGTTGCCCATTCTAATTGTGGTTGCTAAACAAGGACTATCTGTATAAATTTACCAAATAAATAAATATCAGAGTTTGAGAACTAGTGTGTGTAGTTGTCAAATGTGCTATGATAACATTTGAAAGTGAATTAACTGGTTAAATGTATGAATATGGTTAATACATGTGGATTAGCATGATATATGAAAATAGCCAATTGTGGCTCATTTAAAAATGCATTGCTAGAACCATTTGTGGCTGTAACACTTACCCAAATTGCAGCTTGGGAAGGATAACATATTTGCTGTTTTCTATTCCAAACCAGAATCTATTCTGTAATCTTAAAGCTTTATCATTAAGACTTGTTCTCATGTTTCACCATTTCCTGGGTAAAGTCTTAGCAGTATTTCCTCTTTTAAATTCATTGTGCAGTTTGCATATGCTGCTGATTCTTTTTGTCTTTTTGCATTCAGAAAATGAATATCTAGTTTTCAGGAAACTATGTAGAAAACATTTCATTATGAATAGTGCATTTTGGATAAAAAAATATTTTATGAATTGGAATACTTTCCAGTATAGGAGAAAGAGCTGATGCAAATGTCAGGATGCCTGGGAACTTTTGGTGTCTCTCTTCTGCCTGTCCTTAAAAAGTGTGTTGTTGTATATGTATGGATTACACTCAGTATTGGTAGAAGAATTTGTAACAAACTATAATATATTTACTGCTGATATTGAGCTGGGATTGAAGGTCTGTCCAGCGAAATCTGATAACACAATGTCTAATTATTTGATTCCAGGCAGCTAAGAAAATTAGATGAAGATAGTTTGACAAAACAGCCTGAAGAAGTGTTTGATGTGTTAGAAAAACTTGGAGAAGGGTAAGTGAATTACATAAGCATCCTTACCACAGTGTATATAATGCTACCAGAGATAATAGCTGTGTATATAAGAATGGTGTCATTTCCTGATATGCATAGGTAAACATAACTCTTTGAAACAGCAAGTCATTTTGAAGATTGTAAATAAACCAGGCTGCTTATTTCAGAGCAAAACCTTGTTTTATGCAGTAGAGAAAGTTAGTTACAGAGTGACTTGTACTCCAGGAGATAGGAGGTGTGCAGAAGTTTTATTATAGACATCAAATGTTGTACCAATCAGTAACTGGGCTGCCATATTTTGCTTGAATTACAGTTTCAGACTCTTTTCAAGAGCAGTCCCATGTAAAGTGGAGTGCAGTAGTCAAGAGCAGTTGTAATTAAGGCACTGATCACTATTGCTAATCACTCACTGAGGAAAGATTACATGGCTTCATGGACTGTAATTATGCAAACATAATTTTTGCCTATACATGCAAATTCAGTGATGGTTGGGGTTCTGGAAGCACATCCAAACTGTGAACATGCTGTTTCTGGGTGATGTAGCATCATCCAGAATAGGTTTCACCTCAGTCCTAGAGTCCAGCTTTTTCCTACCAATGGCACCTTTGTCTTAATCTGGATTTAATTTCAGGTTGTTCTCCTTCATCTAGCCCATTATCAAGATTAGGAGGAATTCAAGGATACTGATTGCTTTCTTCTTACCAAGTTACTTGGTAGGGAGCAGTCGAGCTTGGTGTCATCAGTAAATTAATGGCATCCCACTCCAGAGCTCCAAACCTCCCTCACTGATTTCCTATAGATGTTAAACAGCATAGCAGACAAGACAGAATCCTGTGGAACACAATAGATCAGTGATCCAGATGTTGAAGAGTAGTCCCCCAGCACCATTTTTTGGGCATTCCCAACAGGCAGGACTCAAACCATTGCAAAACAGTGCTCCTAAGCCCCAGTTCCACTGGAGAACTGGGTTGGATCATTTTAACCAGTCCTCTAAGCTTGTAGAGGATTAGAGCAGCTGCCAGTCTAAAATTGATCAGATAATGAGATCTCTGTGTAGTGGAGTTACAGAAAGTTCTTCCATGTTCAGATCACTGGCTTAGCCAAACAGAATACTAAATTCTGGAACATGCCTTGCTGGATTGGAGGTGGGGTAAAGTTGGGGAGGTCGCTACCAATTAAAATAGGTTAATGGCTTTGAAATGTAGGAAAAACAATGTTTTACTTTGAATTTTGGTTACACTAGTTGCTGTGGCTTTTTTTGTTAAATTAGTACATAATGTTTGCTGATGATGTTTATGATTGTATGCATTTGGGTACTCAAACGAACAAAATGTATACAGGTGGTCCTCAATTAATGACCACTAGTTCAGGGACCATTCAAAGTTACAACAGTGCTCAATAAGTGGTGTTTATAATCAGTCCTCAAAGCTCTAGCCATCCCAGCACCCCATTGTCATGTGATCACAATCTGGGTACTTGGCAATAGGCTCACACTTACCGCAGTTGCAGAGTCCCATGGTCATGTGAATGTGATAATTTGACCTTCCCTGCTGGCTTCTCATAAGCAAAGTCAATGGGAAAGCCGGCAAGAGAGGCTGCCAGGTTACTTGGGTAAGTCTCCCCGACCTGTGCACACTCCCTTAGCCCCTCTGTGCTCGCATCATGCTGGCTACCCATACACCCTTCCTGGCCACTCACTCACCTTCCCAGGTCACTCGCACACCCTCCCTGGCTACTCGCACACCTTCCCCACCTGACAGCAGCCACCCCAAGCCTTGCTATGCCTGCGCCATGCCTCCTCACCACTCATGCACCCTCTTAGAGCCTTACAGTGCTCGCACGTCACCTCCCCACCACCCGTGCATCCTCCCCGCCTCACTGTGCCCGTGCTGCGCACCCTCACACAACCTTCCCAGCCATTTGTGCACTCTTGCACACCCTCCCCCATCTGGCAGCAGCCACCCCACGCCCTACCATGCTTGCGCCGCACCTCCCCAGCCACCCGTGCACCCCCTTGCTCCCACTCCCACCTGGCAGCAGCCACTTATCTGTCTGTTGGCCTGCTTGTGAGCCACCTGGGACTTGCAACTTCCTGCTGGCTTCCCCACTGATTTTGGTTGTTGGAAGCCAGCAGGTAGTTGTGAGGAGATGCTCACTTAACAACACAGGGCAATGGGGAATGCAGGGATTGCCATCACTAAACAATGCAGTCACGTGAGATCATGCTTTACAACCACGTTGCTTAGTGACGGGAATTCTGTTAAAGATTCCATCACTACTACTCTGCAGACTTTTTCTGAGCAGGCCAAGGAACCATTAAGATTTTACTACCATAGCTGAGGAAAAAAAGCTAAAAGGGTACAGTTAGTAGGGTCCATGAAATGGTTTTGTCATTTCTATGCAGAGCCTTTGTTCCTATCTACATTTTTGCAATATGTAACCAAAGATTATGCCACTGCTATTCCTGTAATGTCAGATATTCTGTATTTCCATGGTGGCTGAAAGCAGAGACATACATCAGAAGATAAATATTGTAGTTCCTGTCTTCTAAAGTAAAGTAAACATTTCTATGTGAGTCAAGTTGTTAGTAGCATTTAAAACCATTTCTTAAAATTTCTTTTTTGTTGTCCCCCACCCTCCCTTTCTGGCATTTTGTTTGTTTAGCCTATTTTAGGTTCTGTAAGTTTCCTGCCGCAAGGCAATAGGAAACTCTGTGCTGCTGTGGTTAGAGGGGTTCCAAAAGGGGGCTGCCGTGTCTTCAGGTTGTCCATTTCTGGCAAATTGAGGAAGCCATGCTGTGTGCAAAGCCTCATATGTAGCTTTGGATCATTTTCCTCAATAAATCAGTGAACAAGTATAATGTTTTTGACTAATTTGTTTAATTCGGTTCTCTTTATCTAGTCATTGGACTTGTGTGGAGAACAGATCACATTTTAGGTCATATGTATGCAGAAATATTGAAAATTCAAAAGAGTTCACAAACTTTTAAGTACCACTGTATGCCTTGATATTAGGAGAGTTAGTGTAAGTTCGTTGTGCAAGGTAGAGTGCTTGAACATGCAGTATAACACTGCCAAAGTCTTGCTCTCCTTTTTTTTACACATTTGTGTAGAACGGGATCAAAACAACAGGAAGTGAAAGGTATAGGGAAAAGGGAGAATTTATTCAGAAATTCACATGGAAGTTATACTAACTTTAGAAAATGTATCAGGTGGCAGAGAAAATCTCTATTCTCATTTACAATTCTCTGCCTGCCCTTACTGCAGGGTGAAGTCCTGCACTAGTTTTACTGCAGGGTGAAGTTCTGTACTAGTTTACGTCAGCAGTGCTTCTGGGAATAGTCATGCAGCTGTATGACACTGTGTTATTAGAAGATCACTTCAAGAAATGCAACAGGGAATACAGGATGTATTTAACCATCCAGTCTTCAAACACAGGCTTCTGTTCCTACAGAATACAGTAATTCAAAGAAAGTCTGCTGTAACAGAAAGGTGTATGTGAAGATCACATAGCAGCTTCTGCCCTAGCAGTTCTTCTTGGACAAATCTTTTTGATTACTCCATACTGAATGGTCACCTGACCATGTAGTCTGTGAGAACACACTACTAGTCCAGATTGGCAAGGGTCCAGTCAAGCAGGGCACTGCTTACGTTCTTATATTCATTCTTATAACCAGTCCAGGAGTGCTACAGACTTTAAATTTATAGGAAGAAAATCTCATATTGTTGAGGATGTATATATGGTCATTTTTAATGTAAAACAGAAAGACATCCCTTGGCCACTTTGTGCTTTTATAATTGACGGGTGAAATCTTATGTGTGCCTGCATTTTTTAAAAAAGAAATAATTCTTCCTTTCTTTGAGAAAGAAGCAAGGGAAAGATATATTTTTCAGGGGTCAAGATTTGGCATGAGGCATTCCAGCACAATGATCAGGTTTCTTCTATTGTCCTTGCTGAGTTTCAGGTTTGGGTTTCTTGTTACAGATCCTATGGCAGCGTATTCAAAGCTATCCATAAAGAAACAGGCCAAGTTGTTGCAATTAAGCAAGTTCCTGTTGAGTCTGATTTGCAGGAGATTATTAAGGAGATATCAATAATGCAGCAGTGTGATAGGTAAGTATCAGCATTCAGTATTTTCACTCACCAGTGGGGGATCCCTTGTTCCTCATTCTCCTAAAATACTGTTAAAAAAATTATGTGGGCGGTTATGTCGCTTTTTTCTATAGTTTGATGGGAGGAAAGAGATGGTTTCTCTATTATGTGCTGGGTGAAATAAAGGACGGGTTTGTCCTTTTTCCCCCTATGTTTCTATGGAGACCGAGTGAAGATAGAGAATTCCTGCAGTGCTTTGTTGCTTCAAAATGGTAGAAAGCAATGGAGACCATTCTTTTACCTAAGGAAAGCTTTATTTTATTTTTGCTGTATTTTTAATATAGTAACTAGCAAATTTTAGATACTTTAGAAGTGTCATCATATCCCCCCCTCACAACTTGTCTTTTCTCACAGCTAAACATAGCAAGTTCCTATAGTGTCTTCTGATAAAATTCTCCATCTTATTTTCCTTTTCTGCCTCTGATTGTTCTTGAAATGTGGAGCCAAGAACTACTTACAGTACTTAAAGTGAGGTCTAACCAATTCAACATATAATAGACCTATTACTTCCTGTGATTTATACACTAGATTCCTGTTGATTCAGCTTAAAATTGCATTTGTTTTTATGTCACTCTGCTGGGTCATAGTCATTTGGTGATCAACTACAATTCCAAGACCTCATGTGTGCTATTACCAGGGGGACCTATACCTGTGCCTTTGATTTATTTCACAATAGAAGAACTTTGCATCTGTCTCTCTTAAATTGCATTGTTAATTTCATCCTATTTCTCTAGCTAGTGATTTGTTCTCTTTAAATATGAAATTAAGATATATTATGTCTATAGCATTTCACAATCTACTGTTGAAATTACTAGATAAGTTTAGTCTGGCAAGATTTAATCATTGCACCATTTTAAGGTGCCTACAGATCAAACTCTTTATAATCTGCTGTAGAATATTTCCAGTTAAAAATTTCAGATGGAATAGCCTGTAGCATTCAGAATTCCATTTTGCCCTCCTACAGTTGTCTGAATGGACTGTCACCTGTTCTCTAGGATTTCTCAGAGACTAAATCAAAGTAAGAGTTATATAGTTTTGCTTTTTCTTTGTTAACTGTTAGCATTTTGCCTTTTTCACTGAATAGGTGTTAACATGTTTTTTTTCTTCCTTTTACCCATACCCGAAGAAGCTCTTGTCATTCATGACATCCTTCACTGACTGGCTCATTTTGAACTTTAACTTTCCTGATACTGCCTGCAAATTTAGGCTACCTGTATATGCTATTACTTTGTATCCTGTCTCTCATTTTTACTTCTATATGTGTCCTTTTTTTAATTTGTGCTAAGCTTTTTGTGCTGCCACATTTCCTTTATCTCTTCCTGGAATTATTCATGATTGTGCTTTTAATATTTTATTTCTTAAGACTCTTTCATCCATTTTGAGCACCTTTCTCTGTTAGCTTTTCCTACCGTGGGATCAGCTTTTCATTGCTCTGAGTTTATTAAATCTGAAGTCCAAGATATTACTCAGTTACTAAGGTTCAGCCCAAAGAACTCCACGAGAAGTACAGATACAGTTCTGTTGCATTTATTAGCTTCCATCTCCAAGACAGAATCTCTCCAGACTGAATCTAAACTTCCCAAGCCAGCAAGCCAAAACACCGTGAATTCCTTATGGTGGTGCCAGTCTCAACTTC